GGATGGGGTGGGGGAAGCCCCTCTGGCTCTGGGATGGGGGCCCTGAACACCATGGGGAGGACAAGAAGCTGGGAGACCCTCTGGTTCTGGGGGTCTCGACTGCTGTGGGGACGGCAAGTGGCTGGGAAGGGGCAGCCAGGAGCCTCCCTGTCCCAGGATGGGGTTTCTGGGCACACTGGGGGTGGGGAGGTGCTAGGCTAGGGTGGCCAGCACCACCCCCTGGCTCAGGGACAGGGGATCCCAAGCACTGTGGGGCTGGGACAGGACAGCCAGGACCCCTTGGGCTGGGGGACAGGGTGGCTGGGAGCCCTGTGACAATGACATCGGGGAGGGAAGGGTTGGCACGAGCTGGGGCAGGATCCTGGTGTGTGGGAACTCTCCTGCCGCTTTGGTTCCCGTTCCAGCCCCATGGAGCCCCAGCCCAGCCCACACTCACGTCCACTCTGGTTGTAGCGTCTCTGCACTGTGTCCAGGTTCACACGGTCAATCTGCTGATTTCCCTGTCCTATTTGGCTCTGGGTGTCCCAGTACTGGGTGTCCATGTTGGCCGCCATCCAGTCCGCCCGGGGCTCCACCCTCCCAGTCTCACTGTCGTAGCGCGAGATGACGTTCCCATCCACGTACCCCACGGACACGAACTGGGGCACTCCTGGGCTGGGATCTGACACCGCAACATGGAAGTAGCGCAGAGAATGGAGCCCTGTGATGAAATGGAAGCTGGTGAGAGGTGGAGGGAGACAGAAGTTTGGGGGCCCAAGGGGTGCAGCTACAGTGATGGGCAGTGAGGCTGGATGGGTGATCCCGAGGAGAAATTTGGGGTGTGGGGGGCAGTGTCAGGGGGGTGTGACTGTGGAGGATCATGGGGAGTGAGGCACATCTGGGAGAGGGTCCTGGTTCCCAGGGAGCCTGGGGGGTCTCAGTGTTAACAAAAGGGGCTGGGAGACCTGGGATGCCCGTTAAGGGGTTCAGGGGCATCCACAGAGTCCCGGTGTCAAGAAAAGCTGGTCAAGGGAGAGTACAGGAGACCAGGAAGGGGGTACGGGAT